GGACGGTGGAGACTAAGAGTTACCCGGACGACAAACATCAAAGAATGGTTAGGACACACCTATAATGGATGCGTAAGAAGAGCAGAAGATCGGAACAGCTGGAGATCCATGATAGCCGACCTACTACTAGTAGATGGCACTTGATGATGGTGATGAGTTTGGGAGCCTTTCAAACAGCATTTATCTCTATATGTCACACTGTTTGGAGAGATATGCTGTCTGCCTTCCAATTTTGCAAAAACTGAACTGATCTGTTGTCCACAAAACCCTTATTATTTCACTTAGGGGTCCAAATTTAATTTTACTTAAAGATTAATATTTTAAAGAATATGGTACACTTAACTCAATTACACTGGATTAAAACACTTAATATTCTGCACTACTCTCATTCCTGCACTACTCTCATTCCTACTCTTAATTTCAACTATTCCTTCATGTAAAATTGCGTTGTTCAGTTGTTGTTGTTGTCATCTATCTTACCTCTCCTGCCATTATTTTTAGTGACAACTTGTCCAAGAAGATTTAATGACCACTGCAAAATAAAACAGACAAATATAAGAAGACGTTTTAAGAGAACTTGGGTCCAAGTCCCAGCTGAGAGGAACAAAAAAATTTCTAAAGTTATTACCTGGCAAATAAGTGGAGCCCAAGCACTAGGATTATTATCAACAAATCTGCAAACTACTTCACTGACATTCTGCAAAGCTGATAATAACTCAGGCTCCAGGACATCTGGATAACCTGTGATTCCTAAAAGAATGGAGAGTTTCAGGGTCAGAAACTTTGGTAATGTTTTCAAAAAGATTGTGGTCATAACCTCACTTACTCATTTGGTTATAAGTGCTTAACAGACTGAGAGTGTTCAAGTCAGACTTCAATGCATTAAGAAATAAAAGCTGAACTTGGAAATAACAAAAATATCAAAATGAATGCTCTTGCTTGCATGGTAGAAACTTTTAAAGTTGAGATCATACAGTTAACGAAATGATTTCCACTAATTATTTAAAATGATCAATAATTTGATTGACCGTACTCATATGTTAATCTTTCATCAAGTGAACCCCACGGGGTGGTTTAAAAATTCAGTCAAGGAAGACAAGTCTTTTGTTCTTGTGTTATTTGCACAATCGAATCAAATGTTCAGTTAACACCCACATTATGCAGCTTACTTATTCAAAAAATAAAATGGTGAGCTACAAACAAATTCAAGATGTACAAAAGTTTCAATATTACAAATAAAGAAAACTTTAGTCTCCAGAAAATAGAACTCACCAGATAGTGCCTGTCTTTCTAATTCCACCATATACTTCTGAACAGCTTCATGAAACACTTCACAGAGTTGCTCCAAGACAGCATGTCTTGCACAAGGAAGGGAGTGAAGAAGCACAATAGCACACTGTGCCTTCTCTACACTTGACAAAACTTGTCCTGATTCATCCTTGCCACTCAAAAATGACTGTAGTTGTAGTTTTAAATTCTAGATTTTTTTGTGTAAGGGAATTACAAAACAAAGAATTATTCAACTGGTTAATATTAATACACAACTTACTGCATACAGTACATGTACAAGTTTAAGTGTTTAGAGATGCAGTTTCTATTAATCTTGACCTCTCCTAAAAAAATATCTACAGTTATAGCTGGAATTTTGCAAAACCTTGTATTTAGCATGGCAAATCATGTGGGGAATTCGTGGGAGGCTGGGGTTTAGTATTAGTAGCTTCCCTGAGTCTTTCACTGGCTTATAGTTGATTTACAATACCAGCAAACTATATAATTATCTACCTGTAGTGTAGTGATTAATCAAATTCTTGATTAATCACAATTTTGACCCTTCGGTTTGATTCACGTTTCTTTTCTTCCACATTTCAATTTTGATTCGATTTTTTGCACACCTTTTCCAGGGTGCTCTCAGTGAGTTCTTATAATTATTGTAAAATCAAAATCCAGAACTCTTTAACATTTTGCATTTTTGATTGCTGAGCAAAGACGATTGCAGTTCATGCGCCATTTTGTGTTGCCTGAAAAAAATGCTGTCTTTTGACCACCCCTTGAGAATTTCCAAAGAAGGCAAACCATGTGTGAAACGCTCTTTGTGAAACGCTAAGTGCCCAATTTTAGATAGGCTTTAGAAATAATAAATGAGACAAATAATTTCCAGGTCCTTTACAAATAGTGTAGACGTTAAAAACAGTTCTTAAAAGGCTGAAAAAATCTGCCCACCTTGGACTCTTCCGCCACTTTGTCCGCCATATTGCTATCTTCCGCTAGCCCCAGTCTTTTTAGTTTCACAGTATTACCGCTGGTTCCCGCTGGTTAACAGCAGGCACCGACAAGTTTCATCAGCTGAACCAACTCGCTGGAGTATAATTATTCGTCCTCGCGAGCAAAAACAGTTATTTTAAGCACCGGAAAGTAGTATTTAAAGGAAGGAAGATGTGACTCAACCTCCAATTGAGTGATAGTATGTTTCGTTCATCGCGAGTGCTTCAAATCACAGCATTACTTGCACTGTCGTTTGGAGCTGGGACTTTGCTTTTCCTGACGGCACGCTACTGGAAACGAAAGCGTCGCGAACCATCAACTGGAAATAGCTCTTCTTACAATGATCGTCCTTTGAGAAGAAAGAGAACCTTAACCTCAGGTAATAAGCAGTCAGGAGTCAGGTTTGTCCTGAAGTGTGTATACATCAAGTAATTTATTATAATAAGTTTATAAACATCCTTACCATAGCCCTATGTTAATCAGCTGACAATAAGTTCACAGTGGCCTGAGTTATTAAATTTATATACAATCTGTTTTTCGATACTGAGCTTTTTAAACCTACAGTGTGTAAGTGGTGCATTGATTTTGTAGTTTGAACCATCCTTACATCCATCCTTGTAAGCTGGAAAAAGTATTATTTTAATATAAACTAAGCTAATATTATGCTAACATTATGGCCTGATGGCTGAACTATACAGGTACTAGTAGGCAAGAAAATTACTCGGAAACTCGCTTTGTTTCCGCAGAGTGGCGGCAATATCAAATTTAAAAAGAATTTACGTTGATATGACTTTATATAATTATTAATTTTCTTTGGTGCAAGTGGGATTCCAATTTTAATACCCAATATAATGCATTTTATTTTTAAAATTAAGAATTGCAAAATAATGTTTAAAATCATGAAAAACATGTTGGTTGCTGTGGAGATTTTTCAGCTAGTAAGATATGTGGTCTTTGTTTACTAGCGAACTGCTGGTGGCATTTAGTATAAAAACACAGTGACGACGTTTACACATTCAATGGAAAAAAAATTAGAATCATGGATTACAAATAAATCACATTAGTATAACTGTGTGTGAAGTTTTGATTTTTTAATGCAGAGAAATTTGCATATACATGTAACTTATCTGATAATGATATACTGGTATAATTTACTTGATACTGTCATCTCAATATCTGCTGGTGCCCATAACCACAAAGCTTGTCCTTGATTTTTGTAAAAAAAATCTCAGTGATTTAGGATTAGTTAAGGATGGATTTAAATAAACGTTCTTTTTTCAAAATGAAAATAACTCAAAGATGAGTAGGGTGGGTGCTAGAATACAGCACCAGCTAGTATTATAAAAAATAGAAAGTGTAAGAAGGTACATGTACATGCATTTTGTATAAATTTAGTTCAGCTATGAAAATGGAAAGTGTTAAAACTTTTTAACCTAAGGTTGATTCCCAGGGCTAGCAGACCAAGGAAATCAAGAATCAACCTGTACTGTAGGTTTATACATTGTAATTCAAAATTAACGTGTATGAGGTCAAATTTGACTGTTCACACAAACAAGGATTTGCCTAATACACAATGGTGTATTGTAATACCAATACAAATTTTGTAATCAGTACATGTACATGTATTTTCATGTAGTTCAGTGAAAATTTCTTTTTTGCTGGTACTTGCAGGCACAAGGTTTTCTGCTGGTGAGTCGACACCGAGACCTCCTACCAAGAGCTTAAGCTTGGAACAAGATGTTATGTTCCGACACCATGCATCAAATGTTAGATCACAGAGCAGTAACATTGAGGACATTGCTATAACTGTAAATGGTAAGAAACGTAGTCTTGTGTGCACATTTTTTATCACTTTAAGTCCCACCCTCTTACATTTATTTTTGACCTTTCCCAGACACTGTCCTTGTCCTTTGCCACTAAAATGGCAGTTACCGTACGTTGTACCTTGCCTCTTCAGCTCTGTTACCCATAATGCCTTCACCGCTCCACCAAGATGCCTTATACCTCGCACTGCTTTCTTGAACAGTGTATCTGGTTTCAGTAATGACACTTATTTGCAAAGATGGACCATTAACCTAACACCCAACTACGTATACAGCACCAATTCATTGTATGTCATAGTTCAATTTTATCCTTGGTTTAGATTTTATTTTCCTTTGTTTCTGGTTAGGGTAATTTATGGCAATGAGTTTGAAACAAAGGAAAATAAAATTTAAACAAAGGATAAGATTTAACCAAAACATATACATGTAGTTTGCGGGATCACCAAGGCATGCAAAACTCCACGCTANGCACTGCTTTCTTGAACAGTGTATCTGGTTTCAGTAATGACACTTATTTGCAAAGATGGACCATTAACCTAACACCCAACTACGTATACAGCACCAATTCATTGTATGTCATAGTTCAATTTTATCCTTGGTTTAGATTTTATTTTCCTTTGTTTCTGGTTAGGGTAATTTATGGCAATGAGTTTGAAACAAAGGAAAATAAAATTTAAACAAAGGATAAGATTTAACCAAAACATATACATGTAGTTTGCGGGATCACCAAGGCATGCAAACCTCCACGCTACATGAGGGTACAATGCTTAGGGAGGCCAAATGACAGTTACTGGTACATATCAAATAATATTATAACATAGCTAGAATATTTGCATAATCGAATTCAATAGCACGAGCGTGCTACATATTCCCATTAAGCACACTGATGATGTCAATAAACTATACCTCGAGTTCTTGTGTGGTCTTGTGAGCTTAGCAGTCCTCCAAAGACATCTCCCAAGGGCATCCATAACTCAACAGTACATGATGAAGCATTAACCATGTGTTTTCTAACGTAAATTTAAGAGAAAACTTTTCAATTTGTTAAACAATAGTAGGGAAAAGAGGTGAGTGTTGTTGTTGTTGTCATCTGCATGAGCTGTACAGGCTATGGCATGTGCAAATTACTCTTTGCAAAGTTATTTCTTACAAAAAGAATTTTTCAGTGAATTAATAGTTTTCAAGCACATCAATATGGATTTTACAATCTTTTTTAATGTTATCTTAAGCAACTTGAGTAAACTTTATGTAGTCGTAAATATAGTCACGCAGACATAGATGTGTACTGCTTTGAGCGCGGGCTACAATGATAAAAATTTAAGTTACTGCTGCATTAATCGCTTTGATAATGTTATAAAACAATTAGGTCATGCTTCAGCTGTCTGTATGTCGAGATATTGAACACTTAGAACTAATTGTTATTATAACTTGTATTATGAGGTAATCTTTACCTAGCTCTTAATAATGAACAAAGACATCCATTACCTTTTGTAAATCAGTCAACAAAGATGAGCACATTGTAAGGAAAGGTGCCTGTGTGGCTGGTACAGTGAGGAGGCAAGAAGTTTTGCAAAAGAGTTGAGAAATTTTTCAACCCTTATTTCAGACTTCTACTTTTCGTAGAATAGTTAAATCATACATTGTTCACCTGCACTGTATTGTAACAATAATTATTTTAACATTAGATGGGAGGATTTCTGAGGACAGTGCTGTTGAATTAGGGGACATAATAACAGATGAAGAAGAGATCATTGAGGAACTTATAAAGAGAGGTACAGTAAGTTCTCTGTTTTAGAATTTTATGCCCATGTACATGATGTTATGTACAACCTTCAAAAAACTGAATCTCTTGACCTGGATTACACTATTAGGAGTTGAAAACTTTGAAATGGCTCTGGAACATTGGTATGAAGCAGCAGAGTATGTCATGACTCAGCAAGGACAAAGTCATCCACAGCAGGGAGACTCATTTTTCTTTTTTGAGGCTGATGCCAAACTCAATGCCCTAATAAGCAGCTCAAGAAAACTGCGGAAAGTCATTGAACAGTATGATCTAGCAGAGACATCTCTGCCACACACACCAAGTAACATGTTGACATGGATTGATGATGAAAGTTTACAGGAGCAGTTACAGATGGGGATGGTCAGGGATCTAGATCTTGATGATTCATCTGATGCAGATTCATTTGTATCAGCAGCTGACAATGCACAGTTAGAGGTACAGCTGTACACATAACTTTACATGTTACAACATGCAGCTGTTTGTTAAATGTTCAAATGCGCAACACATGTTAGCTGGAAGTGGACTTTTTGCACTCTTGGGCTGTGATTTTGAACAAATTTTTGGACAAATTGTCTCTGTAAGAGTAAAGACATGTAGCAGTACATTTGGTAGCGTCAAGGCATAGTAAAAGAGAAAAAGGCTTACTTCTGGTTGAGGTGCGTCTCTCTAAAGTGCATCTGCTTAAACTCCCTGTTGTCATTGCTGGACCATTCAGAAAAGTAATTTGATTTAGTGATTATTATGATTGATTAACACAAATTTCCTGATACTCTACTCTCCCATAACGAACGTGTACTTGTTACAAAAAATGGGAGGAAATGAAATGATTTGCTTTTGTTTCCTTCCTCAGTGAGAGCAACAATACCACCACCTCTGACTTGTCACAAGCTTAAGTATCCATGATTCTATTTTGTAGTTTGATGATAGCACTGAGGAGAGACTTGTGAGTGAGTCTTGTAAACTCAAGCTGTTCAGACAAGCTGTTCTAAGATCTGCTGGTTGTCACAGGTCTGTAGAAAAAAAAATGATAATAATAATAACAATTATTGTAATAATACATGTAATACATATGTAAAAAGTAGCAGCAGTGAGAAAATATTGATCTTTTTTCTAAGTACAGTACATATAACAAGTGGATAATAGCTATGTTTTACTGATTAAGGTGATTCCCTAGTTTTGCACTGCGCATCTCTTACTGCGCATAACAAGATGGCCGCCGTAAAAAAGAGCATGTGAAGTAATATTATTAAAATGAAGTTGACTGAAGAGAAACGCTATTGGAATTTTTTCTTGCTGTTGTTTCTTGCCGAGGTGGGACTCAATGTGTTGGGAATTTGCATAACGTAAGCAGTACGCTTGTTGCTGAGTTCGACCTCCTCTCGGAGAACCTCGATAGTGGATGTTTAACTTGTGCTTACTCACTTTGATTTTCATTTAAACACTTTCTTTATCACATTGTGTCCTAAATGTGATATCTCAATGTAAATTCTGTAAAAACGGATTTTTTAATACTTTCTTCCCCCTTTCACATACATTCTATTTTGAAACTCGCCCCAGTCCTCAAAAATCGGAGAAAATGCGTTTGGTGCACACTTTCTGCAGCTCTACCGCAAAAACGAGTACGGTGACCCCCATTTTTTATTTCATGATTTTAATAAGGACAGTGCTTCCTTTCGATGAGAAAAAAATTGGCACAAATCTATGTTCAGTTTTTTGGCAGTTTTACTAAATTGTACGGATTGAGCCATCACGGGTCGAAAAGTGCGCGTCTAATTTAATTCTACTTTGGAGCGTAAAGTAAAAACAAGGGCATTAAAAGGCATTTTTCTGGTACGTAAGTGGATAAACAATACATTAAAGTCAAATTCTGTGTGATGAGATTTTTTCGATGATGCATGTCATGCATCATCGAAAAAATCTCTCCTTTTTGTCTAGTTTTTCGCTGCCCGCGGTTTTTGTAAAAGGGTTCTAAATAGCCGTATTTGTCAGCATTGTGACGTCAAAACGAGCACGGTGACCCCCACTTTTTATCATTTTTTATCATCTTCTTGACTTGTTACATCAGTGTACCAAGTTTTAGCTAAAATCTATGTTAGGTTCTTTTACTATGGAATCACCTTAAACCGTGCCTCTTTTTTCTTGTGTAGCCACCTGGAGTTTTATGTGTCAGGCTTGCAGCATTACATTAGACATGGAATTACCTGCAGAAAGATAAGGTGAAAACTTTGCTACAATTTACATACGTATTGTAAGTTTAAAAGTACACACATACATATGCTGTTTACAGGTGGCCATTATTACTGACCTGAAGGAGGATTATGAGGTTATCCCTGTATTAAGATCTCTCCTTACTGCAGATAACTCAACCCAGCCCAGGAAAGGTTTGCCACAACACTGGTTTGCCCTACTCTTTTTGAACAGTGGTGTGGGTTCTTTTATGTCCCCCAAGAAACAGATAAGTGAAAGTGCTGTGAGAAGGGACCTACGTTTTTCTGTCCTTGTTGGAGAAGACTAGAAAGTCTAACCATTTGCAGATGCCATTACAAAGGTAGCACTTTCTTCTCAGTTATTTAAAGACCCTGAGTGGTGGTCTGGCTGGGGTTTGAACCTGCAACCTTCCCCTCAGCAGACTGCTGCTCTCCCAATTGAGCCAACCAGGCAGCCACTTGATTGTTCATGACTATCATCATTATAGAAGCTCGTGTAGTTGCTGCTTGTAGTTATGTTGACACTGTTTCCTAGCAGTTACAATGAACATAGCTGAAGAGGTTTGAAACAAGGGAAGTGCAGTGTACTTTCAAATCCAATTTTTTTTTGCTCCAAATTATCTTCTTGCTCTTCTTCTTCTTGTTTTCTTGGGATATAGAATGCTTATCATACTACTAAGTAAACTTGTATTTGTTTTTATGTTGGAGTAAAAAAATCCTAAATGTTCAGAATAACCATAATTCCAAATACTTTTTGTTAAATGCCCACACTGAGGCAAATTGAGTAAAGCAGGATTTTTTTCTCATAAATGACAAAACAAATAATTAATTTGTGCTTTACTTGCTTCAGGTTAATCTGTAAAGCAGATTATTATTCTGCTGATTCTTGGAATTAAGGCTTTTCTATGCAAATAATTATTATGTTAACTAAGTTCCTACAAGATAGCCAGAACGGTGTATGTACCAAAGTTGAGATGATTCTTTTAGTCTTAGTATGTACATGTATATCTAAAAGGCAACAGACAAAAAATGTTAATTACCAGTTTTAACCACATTTTGTTAACACTACAAAATACTAACTTCATGCTCATTTAATTCTTCAAAGGACAAATGTTGTTGGCTGTGAAACTGACATGGAGTTCCTTGCAAAAGTACATTGCATACGACAGGCATCCGAGGTTTGTTGTTAACAAGTGTTACATAAATGAGAGGCCGTTGTTTCCAAACATTACCCAGGAAAAAAAAAACTTACATGTTCTCTGTTTGGTTTGGCTTGTTAAAAAAACCTCTTTTGATAAAGCAAAATTTCCTGAAGAACTGACCTAAATGATTCTTAACAGGTTTTTGTCTTGAGTAATGTCTCACTGGGATGTACACAAAACACTATAGACTTGTATTATTTAGTAAACAAAAAATTAAATTAATTTACAAGACTAAACTTTAGTCCTGATCCTTCGTTTAATTCTCTTTTTATTGGTATGACTGTGTGTTTCATTGTTTTCCCTCTATGTTTGTTTTTTCAAGATGGTATTTTCATCTTCTGAAATCCGTCAGTGGTTTATTGAAAGTGGTCGGCAAGCTGTTTCTACAGTTATTGAACAGGCAGGCAAGGTGCGGTATTGCTATTTTTGTTTTATTGTTCTATAAATAATGGACTAACATGACCTTAACCTTCCCAAACCAGAACAGCCTTTGTTTAAGTTGGAGTAATAACTCTCTACTGTTGATACTTGATTGCCACAAGAATCTACAACCTTTGCTCCAGTTTTCAGTAATCTTTTTACTTCTTTCACATGTGTCAGAAAAAAGTTTTCTCTCTTTAGTAGTAGCCAACTCTACTCAATGTTTAATGCCTGCGAGAAACGCTTGAACAGATCATGGAAATTCAAGAAACAGTAGAAGTTAACAACTCTTCAGGAAAATTTACATTCGTTCTAACTGCTCAGGTGGTACATTGCATTGAAACCTTAAAAATAATCCAACAGCATTTTGCATCATGTAAATAGAAGGAGTTGTCAGTTCAGTAGTTGAACTTTAACAGCCATCCATGACAGTTTATCTTATGTAAAATCCATGCCTGTAAACAGCCATTTCAAACTCTTTAGTGATTCATAAAGAAAATACAAAGGAAATTAATGTTTAATGAGTGTTTGGAAATCAGATGAAAAACTGCTCATTTTTGCCTCCTTAATTTCTCTTTCTAAAATCATTTTGTTTGAGAAGTAATATCAAGCATTTCATCACTACATGAAACACCTCGATGTTTGTCAAAAATACTCCTCAGCGTGTTGTATTTTCACAGATGAAACACTGTGTTTCATGCTTGATATGCAACTCTCTTCTCACAGATGAAACGCTGCATCTCATGCTTGATGTATTAGGGTTTCAATATGAACTGAATGCAGCATGATACTCTTCACAGGATCCCTCGGACTTCCAAGCTGCATTTGATGAATTAGTAGAGTATACATCCTCTGCAGACAACTGGAGACAAATTAAGGATGAGCTTTCAGGCCGAGGGGTATGATTTATTGTTCTATTTTTTATTTTTACCTCTTCTAACATTCAGGGACAGTTATACAGGTTACAAGTTGTGTGTGGAAGCCTATCTAACCACGAGAAAACCTTGGAACAAATAACAGAAACAACTCTTTTGGTCCTAGAAACAACAGCAGCTCCCATACCAATAGAATCAATACGCACACATGAGAGAGCTACATTACCTCAAGAAACACTGCTTATTGTCCCCGGAAATGAACAGTTTCTGTTGAATTGTGTCAACTAGTACAGCTTAGTCATGTGTGACACAACTTACAATACCCGTTTGCCCAATAGCCCACTTTAAAGTTACTGGTGGAAACGTGGCTGAAGTTGATCTTGTTTTGATACAACCTTCCCTGCTTTGTTATGTAAATCATGTTTTTCTTTTGCTAACTAGTATTTTTAAAGCATAATTTCCATAAGAAAAGCAAAGGAGGTTTGTATCAAAACAAGGTCAACCTCAGCCTCGTATTCACTCAAAGGCTAGGATACTAAGCCAGCTGCAACTGTAAAATGGCCTATTACAACTGTGAGCTAAGGAATTTCCAGAGCACACTCTCAACAGGGCATAATAGTAAAAATAATAATAATAATAATAATAATAATAACATTTACTTTTATAGTGCCATTTCTATTTCTGTCCAATGATGCTTTACAACGACAATTATTTTTTTGAAAAAAAAAAAGTTATCAATATAATGCACTGTTAAAAAATTTTAAAATTAAGCTAGTGTTAAAATTTACAATAGTGTTAAAATTAGTAAAAACGTGAATAAAATGAAATAAAAATATGTGTGTATTACACATTAAAGATAGCGACCACAAATCTGGTTGGCAGTTGCATAAATGAATGCTTCAAGGACCAGCAGAGTTTTCTCTCCTTCCTCTTATTTCTCTCTCCTGTGAGAGACCTCTGCAATCAGGGAAATATGCCAATGGATAGTAATTAATTTCTTTTTCTCCTTAGGTGAGCCACCTCTCATTCTATGATGTGCTTCTGGATTTTGTGCTCTTGGATGCTTTTGATGACCTAGAGACCCCACCCTACACAGTAGCAACTGCTGTCCAAAACAGATGGTTATCAGCACGCATTAAAGAAACTGTAAGTACCCTGGGGCCTGTTCCTTGAAAGTCCACTTATTTTTCATGCCTGAAGCCAAATTATTTGAAAATCAAAATCTTTAGAATAAAAATTGTTGGACCCAGCTATCAAACCAGTCCATTTTTAATGTTAACTGATACCTGTATAATATTATCTGCAAAACTATTGAAATTCTGATCTTCTTTTCTCTATTACACAATAACATTCTGCGTGGGATAAGAGCACTATCTGATAGCACTAGTGCAGCCCATCAGTCTACTTGTATTTACTGTATTTGAATTTCTCAAAAAACTTCACTTGCCCTTGGTAAGCTGCTTGGTGGACCGACACCTGAGCAGGGGCTATGTTACCTTCAAGGAGAAAAAAAATGTTTGAGGGCCTTTAAACTGCTTTGCTCATCAAACATTGTATTTGAAGTGCTGGGTCCAGTTCTCCAAAAGATGGCTAAGTTTAACCCACGATTAAGGTGGCTGAACACAGTTTTGTGGGCGGTCAGCAGTAACTCGAGTGAAGGCGAGTGTTTTAAATCAGAAAAACAAACATGGCGGCCCACAGAGAAGACGATACTTCTGGTACACAGAAGACGATTTCTCAAAATCTAGTCATTAAAATTTTGTGATATTTGGCAGAATTTTTACTTATATCGTATTTTAAATAATGAGAACTTTAAAATGGAAGTTGAACAGACACATTTTGTGAGACATTTAATAATTACGGTACAATTATATTATTGATTAACTAAAAACCCGTCTGTTAAAACTTGGTCATATAAGTTTCAAATGGTAATGATTAATTATAGTAAGCTGTGTGCAAGCTTATAGGAAGATCTAAAGAGCGAATTTTATGTAAACTGAGCCAAAGTGAAATTTTAAGGTTGTATTCAATCGTTTATGTTGCCATGGAAACTACGAAAACGTCAAATTTTACCTGTCAATCAAAATCTTTCATCAGTGTATTTTTCACTTGCCAAGTTTCAGCTTGTGAGCTGCAATTTTTCTCTTGCCATAATTTGGCTAATGACATATACTCAGAAACTGCCAAAACTGTGTTCAGCCACCTTAAGCCAAATTTTTAGCAACATACTGTTGAGCCTTTACAACAAGATACAGCTGTAATGATGACATAAAATGTTACTAAAAGCAATACATACGAAGGAAGAATACAACAGTGGAAAAAATTATAATCCTGGATCAGCACTAATCAGCCTTTCAGAAACTGGGCCCTGCCGGATAGCATCAAAATGATGGTGGCAATCTAGCCTTATGTCTCATATGGTTATCCATAAAATCAAGGCTGTGCTCTAAGAAAAATTGATAATTGAAAAATACATAAATATCGTTCAAATACAATAGCAATATTTTAGGCTAGCTTATGATAGAGCTTAAACTTTTATAGTTAGCTGAAGCAACATCTTGCCTTCCTGTCTCTTTGAGGTCTAAGTGGTGGTTTGTAGTTATAAACTGAGTTCTCCTTGGCATTATTTCTCTTCATGTCTTTGTTTTGTATTGTTATTGCCAGGCACTAACCACAGCAATCTGGGGTGTTTTGAAAGCCAAGTCCTCTTACCTCCAGGTTAGATACTGATTTCAGCAGTTTTTTCTTATTTATTCATTTGATTATTAATATTTATTTATCGGTACAAGCTTTGCCAACAGGCAACACTTCAACTGTGAGGTCCAAATTTGCATACGCACTGTCTTAATTGAGGCATTGTGTTATGTTGCCATAATTATCCCAGACATATGAATATCGCTTCAACACAGCTTTTTTAAACAAGGCTGTGTAGAGCTGTGCCAAAGAATTCTAGGGAACGTAAAGGAAGGCGTCCAGCGTATTAATAAAAATTATCTACAAAAACAATAATTTCCTTATTTTGTTTGACTTAAAAGATAATTAATGGCAGGACATACTATCACTAGCATCACCGTTGTCCTGTTCATCATCATCATCATCATCATCATCATCATCATCATCTCATCGTCATCGTCATCGTCATCGTCATCGTCATCATCGTTATCATCATCATCATCACTCTCATCGTCATCGTCATCGTCGTCATCGTTATCATCATCATCATCACTCTCATCAATCTAGTCATCACCACCGTCATCATCATCATCATCAACATCATCATCATCATCATCATCATCATCATCATCATAACATGAATTGTGTTATCTTTTACAGGATCCCTATGGCTTTATGGCGCATTTCTATGTTGTGGCTCAGTACGTGTCTCCAGTTCTTGCTTGGGGATTTTTAGGAACAGATGAAGAATTAAAACAAGTGTGCGAGTATTTTAAGGTTGATATCCATTCCTTTTCTTTTTTCTCTTTAATACTTTGTTTTTAACTTGAACTATTCACATATGTGAGTTAACAGACCAACTTGCTCCTTCATCAGCCAAGAAATGGGTAGGAAAACCGGCTTCATTTCTATTTTGTTCTATCCAAGATTGCAATCGCGGACAAAAGAGATGGAAAATGTAGATCCCTCCGCCTCCCAAATCAAGGATGGGAAAATAGTTCGCTTTGGCTTTCGCCCTGCTTCATCCTTGATTTCGGAGGGAAGCGCTTGCTGTTCTATGTTATTTTGTCCAAGATTGTAGATAATTTGTGACTCAAAAAACTGGAAGTTAACAATTATTAGTCGACAACACCAAATTGTCGCTTTGACTTTATCTTTATTTTTTTTAGAGTAACATCCTGGGCTTTATCAAAGACATCTTTGACTTCGACAGCTCTGATTATTCAACAACTGAAAGCTTGCGTGACTCCATCGTCAGATTGGCTAAGGAAAGAGGGGAACAGTTGTTAAGAGGACAAGTCGAAGACACTG